GATGGTACTGATTTTCCCATATTTATTTTAGTTATTTCTTAATAGTTTTTTTGCTGACTGTCAGAGCCCTGGTATAGAATATTAGATTATAGTTGTGACAATGTTAATCAGAAATATTTCCAAACAAACTAACAATGAGCATGAGCTACCATAAAAGTACACATGTTTACTGGAAACAACTATTTGATCTTTCCAATTATTTCATTCTTTTTCGTATCCAATCAGAAGTCTTTCCTGTGCAAGATGTTATTTAAGCCACAAGTTTCAAACATGGCATGGTCAACATCTGAAAAATGTTTCAATTATTTAAACAGTTTATCTCCTTACTAGAAGAAAGACACACAAGTGACACATTGTGCAGTCATATTTGTAGAATTATACACGATTTAAATTTTGACCTTTCAAGAAAAATTAAGATCTAAGCTTGATATTCCTGAAGAGTAAAAGAAATTGTTTCATGTGTTCAAAATCATTAGATGTTTGAATATTCATTATGAACAGCCGAGTGGCAAAAACAGTGAAAAGAAAGCAAGTTTTAGGTAAAAAAAAAAAAGTAAAATTTAGAAGAAAAATAAAAAATCTTGAATTAAAGCAGTGAAGGAAAAAATCTGGGTTTGCTATATTTCAAAACAGCAAGTCTAAAGCTAGGAAAAATCATGGATTTCCTTGATTATAAAACAGCAACTTTAAGGCTAAAAGAACACCTACTTCAATTTATATAGATAACTAATAAATAAACTTACTTCTCTAGTTTCTCATGCTTATAAGAAAGGAAAGGTTTCTGAGGTGTTACAAAGTAGGTATATTGAAATGTGAAGTACATAAGAAAGCTATAAAACTCAAATCTCCCACAGTTCACAATGTTTTAAGTAGGGAGTAAATATCTAGTAGCAGGAAATGGAGAACATCTCCAAAGATGTTAATAACTGCAGGTAGCATTTGTTAATCAGATTTTAGGATTAAAAAAAAAGCATTTCCACTGGAAAGGGATAAAAAGCAGGTACACAAACCATACCAGCAATTAGTAGTGATACATTAGGACAAATGAATCCATTGGCTAGATATGTCATGCAAGTTTAAAGGGAGGGACAAGATATTTGATATATAATTGCAAAGAGATCATTACTTCAATTAATAAATGCAAATTAAATTTTATATGGGTTCTTTGTTGTACCAGAATGAGTTTTGCAACTTGTTATCAAAGTTCCCCATTCCTGTTTTAGAGAATTAAGGCATTTCTACTCACAGTGTTGAAATGTGAAAAGATATGTCTAATTATGGTGAAGATATCAGAATTCACGTAAATTTCCATAAATTCTGAGTTTAAAAACAAGAACTGTTTTATCCTGTTTTACTTACTATACAGAAGATATTGAAATGCTGAAAAAAGTACAAGAATAATACATAGTTTAAAAGAGAGGTCTTAAGACTTAGTCTAGATTGCACCAATGTCTTTATTACTTAAAGAATTTGAACTGTGAAGAGAGAGGTCTTAAGATTTGAGCAGTGGCATAGGAAGGAGTTGCAAAGTGAGGGTTGCTTGGCTAGACTTGTAAGTATTACAATGAGAGATTGAAAGTACAAGGTGCTGTTAAAAGCAGCTCAATCTAGGTGGGTCTATGGGCATGCCTCCCAGAAACGTAATATAATACCTTATAGTTGCTATACAAGTCATATATGTACAAGTAGGAGTGCTACAGCACCCCTGTTTCTGACACCTCTGTTAGGCTAGATTATGCCAAAATCTCTACCACTACTACTGCTGATGACAACTCATTTTGTAAACCAATTACCAAGTTCAAAAAATAAACTGTCTTAAATGGAACCTAATCTATCTTTTCTAAATCTTGTATTTGTGTCATCTTGTTCTTTTGTCTTTAGAATACAGCACAAATAAATCAAAGGCCTTTATCCAATTATCACCCCACAGATAATCAACTTTTCTTAATTTTACTTTCAACATATATTGCAAAACTTAACTGCACAGTTATACAAGTGCAATAAAAAATACTATTAATGGCTTCCAATCAGCCTTTATAGCCTCAACTATTCTATCACAAAAACAAGAAAAAGCAGAACAGAAATGCCAGCTTTTAACACAGGCATATTTTTATTCTTGTACTGGAATGCAGGACACAATGTTTAAAGATAATAAGAGAATTATTATTTCACTGACATATATTTCTACTTAAGAACAGACATAAGAGTTGTTCAAACAACCTCCTTCAGTCATTTACAGGATGTTTTCTTATCAAATTTATATCACTATTACATGATGGCATTTCCATACTGCAGATTCTGACCAACCATCATTTCAAATAGACAATGCCATGATTTTTTTAAAATTTTCAATGGCAGATTTTGCACTACTTTCAACTATGTTGAAGTCCTTCACACTTAATGGGAACCATCACACTGATGCTCGAAAGCAGACATAAAAAGAGTTTTGCAAAGGCTTGTTAAAGCTCCCATCAAGTCTGTCATGATACCTACTGGTTCTTTTATTCTTACAAAGAAATACATACATTTGAATTCAGGTCCTGTATTATGTCATAACACTGGCTACTAAATCAGTTGTTGTTTGTATATAAACAGACAAGCTCAGAGATAACTTTGTGTGACCCTTCAGGCTGCTATGACTCTAATACTTCAATTTTAATTGACCTAGACTAGCGACATGCAATAAAACAACATTTTGAACAATACTGTTGTATACACACACACACACATCAAATATTTGTAACTTAAAAACTAGGTCAATATTTTAAAGTTTAAATTACAAAACTGAATATTAGTTATTAGCAAATTCAGATTACTAAAAAGATTTTAAGCAAATGCTATCATGACTTTAAATTGAATTTGATGAATTACTTTCTACAGACATAAGGCCAAAAGGAGCTGCCATAGAGATTGGTGATCGACATAGTTCAGTGGCAAGCTATGAACATGTTTCACTTTGGCCAGTAAAACCATTTTGTTGATAGAAAAACAGTACAATTCAGTTAGTACAAAGTAAGTAACTTTATTGTCCAATTTTGTAAACAAAGAATCTATATACAATATCAGCCCATTAATAGGACTCGTGGACTGTTTGGTGGAGCTGTTTGTGGCCTTCGTTCATTTTTCAAATGTAAAAAACTGATGTTAACACACCATTTTTATGCATTACAACTGTTTGTATATGAAGGCAATAGGCTATGTAAATAGTTTTTAAAACAAAGCACCTTAGGTATTCATCATGGAATTGGAGCTTCTGCAGTGGTGACACAGCTGCTAATTTCAAAGCTTGTTTTGTACTACTATTGGCACTGGTTTTCATTAGGAGTAGCTGATTATCTCTTGTCTATCCATAGGATGGAAAGTCCTTAACCTGAATTGTCTGACTAGCAAAATAGTCTTGATGAACAGCTCCATAAAGTAACTTGGGAGCAAGAAGAGGACATTGGAAGATGCACAATGAGTAGTTCAACTGACTGGTACATATTCAATGACAGCTTTACCATCCCCATTATGAAGACAAATAACTCCAGTTTTACCATAAAGATCATCATGTACAGCTTTTTTAGCCACAGTGAATACTTGCACTTCTGATTTCTTCTTCTTTAGTGTTTCACTCACATCTTTACACATGATCAAACTTCAGCTGTTCTCTGAGCAACTACTTTGTTCTCTACCCAAAGTTTGCAGAGAATTTCATGGGGAAAGTAATCGATTTGGTGATTTGTTATAGATGTTGACATTTGTTTGTTCAATGAAGTTTTCACTCTTAGCTTTGCCTATCTCAGGCACGATAAGTTTATCACAGTTTGAGATGTAGTGGCATTGTTAGTTGATCATTCAGCTTTGGTTTCAAGTTACAAATCAGTAGCGCTTCCTTTTTCCATAGTGAGACTTCAACTTTTTGGTTTACATTTGGGCCATTTTTGCAGGGGCATTTGATTGGCTTTGTTTCAGTCACTGGAGCAGGTAATCTGTTTTGATGTGACCAATATGTCCACTCCCCAGGTATCTGCTAATAACTATGAGCTTGTCAGTACCTTATTTTTGTATCTATTTGGTCCTCTTGCAACACTTTAATGAAAACCTATTTACACATGATAGCAAAATACACATCTTACTCTCTCAATGAATAAATTAAGTTTATCCTAACTGCCATAGTAATTCCAAAAGTTAGCATGTAAAGTAATTTGGTTTTGTCACAGTTACAGTTTCGGTAGGATAACTAGGTTCAAACAGTTTTAATTCAAGTTTAGAGGACGAAACAGCCAAGATGGACCAATAAGTCCCATGTTGTCCCAAAATGTTATTTTGGTTATCAATATCAGTGTGGAAGAATCTATCAGACAGACAAGCATAATCTGTTTCTTTAAAGTTTTTATAAACTTCAAACTGTTATAGCAGACTATAACATAATATTGACTTGAGAAATTACGCCTTAGTACATACAAAAGCAAAATGACAGCATATGAAATAGGTATCTGATTAGCATTTATTGATGCAAAAGATGAAAGATTAAAAGAGGTTTAAGTTAGTAAGATATCAGTAGGTAATTTCATTCTGGAGCAATACTTGCGTAAATTAAATACGAGGTATAAATGTTCTTAAATAGTTAAAAATGGATAAGATTAAGAGTATTACTAATAATGAAATACAAATTAGTTACTATTTATAGGCTTTAATTATTACTAGTTTAATAAGATTGCAAAACCAGATGGGCTAATTAGGTGCTCTTAGCTATAGTATTTATTATTTCAATTTTTATTATGCAAAATATAACGACTTGTCAGAAAAGAATAAACTCATCCTTATCCCGTCTAAAGTTTACTAAAGATAAACTAATATTTATTTTTCACAGTGACTCTGAGCAAGACAGTTGGATTTGAGTCTGAGAGTTGAAAACTTTAAAAGATAGAGATGGTAAATGGAAGCAATGTTTTAGATCAACTAAATTGTAAACATACAAATTGCACAAACTGTGACAAAAGACAACTTTTAATCACCTTGTGATTTGAGCTTTCTTGGCATCTTCCAAAAGTTTCACCTGCAATCTTCAGGCATCCCTGGCGATAATCCTGTCGAAATCCCCATTTTGGTTTAGTCATGTTGAACCCATGTGATCCCTTTCGAACGTCCTCAGCGGGGATTGGCCCAAGGAGTGATCAGCCAAACTGGCGGCAAACAAACAGAAAGGCCTCTTTAGACTTTACTTTTAGTTTTAGGTAGAAATTGATGTTTGCCCTAATCACTATATTGTTTCAACAATGAATCTCCTTACGACAACACACAAACACACGGATATACTTTATAGTACGTCATTAATAAATTAGTGTCTATCTAACTACATTATTTAGCTATCACATCTGCAATCACTGCTGCTTAAGAAAATAAAACAAACACAACCTTGTCACGATTCCACAGTCGGATTTTAGGCTATACCATTACTATGCAGGGAAGGTACCAAACGATTTCAAGTTAAGAAATATGGTGACCCAATGGAATGTAAAACAAGGGACTAATAAGTGAATTCCTATTGGACGAGAAGAACAAAAATAGTTTCTGTGCTGGCCAAAAGTGGCAGCACTTACCGTATTTTATGGTTTGTCCATTTTCACATGGTTTTTATAGTGGAGATACTTTATCAAACTGGATGCTTATCCAACAGTCATAAGCGTCAGAAAACCAATTTTCATACAGTTAATGGGAGGGGGGACTATATATTAAATTTAAACAGGTTAGTATGCGTTCAGTTTTAAAATTTTCGAAGCTTTAAATATAGCAAAATTGTAAGCAAGTTTTTAAAGATGCTTTATACCCGTGTTTGTTTAAACCATACTTCTAGAAAGTAAATTTTATAAACAACTAGACAACCC